GAGAGAGAACAAAACAAAACACCGGTCACGAATTAGAAGTACAAACCGAAGATTTGTAAAGAAGAATGTCAGAGGATTTCGATATAAGCCAAGAGGAGACTGGTTTTCCTTTGCTAAAGTAAGGAAACTTTGCTTCCTTTGCTCCTGTTAACAAACGTTGGGTTTCACGAGACTCATCGGCGCATGCGCAACGCTGACTTCATACGTCATCAGCCCGGAGCTGCTTCCGTGTACAGCTGTTAGCGCAAGCTACATTAAAGTGATTATTACGTTTTGAATACGGATATTTTTCTTACAAAAACGCATCGACAGGATGCCTTTGTTCAGCCCCTGGAGCCTTGTGAGACACTTTTTTTTTTTATGGATGGGCGCTTTTTATTTTACTTCTTTTGTACTGAAGCAATGCAACACCCGCTGACTGGCATTAAACAGCTTGAAAGATCAAAGACAATTTTTAATATAACTCCGACTGGATTCGTCTGAAAGAAGAAAGTCATATACACCTAGGATGCATTGAGGGTGAGTAATTTATGGGCTAATTTTCATTTTTGGGTGAACTAACCCTTTAAGCCTTGTCTGTGAAACCAAGGGTAAATGTTTTTGATAGCTACTATCTTATTAGAAGTTAAACCGATATTGTTTTTAGTTCAGATTATTTTAAGCATATCTCGGTAGCATCCCAAGAACAGCTATTTATTTATTTAGGGACATATTCATAAGACATAGTAATAGTAATAGCAACTGAATATTCTCGAGGAAATGAGTGAATGCAGCACTTAAGTTTCATAACATTTTTCTATAATAAAGTGATTTTTTTTTTTAATATGGAATTATTGATTTATGACGGGATGTTTTGTACACGCAAGAATTTTTGCAAATATCTGATCTGAACAACTACATCTGAGTAAATGACGTGAAAGTAACGCACGTGAGGGTAGAGTACTGAATCCCCCCTATGAATACAATGGTCTCGCCCGTTGCTCTTTGGCCTGTCACGTGGTGCGGATGTCCTTCGCTCTTCTGTCTCTACAGGCTAAACATGGCTGCGCTCTTAAGATCAGCCCGGCTCCTCAAATGCTCACCGGCTTCATTGCTTCAGGTCACAGGAAACACCAGACATGCACCGGTAGCTGGTCGTCTTTACAGCGGAGCGGTCGGGACTCCACATGTAGGGCTTTGTGTCCGCCAGACAGTCCCGAGACGGTTAAATGTAAACAGGTATAACGCAGCATGACTGTGCCATGCGTGTGTAGATCATGCAGTTGTCATTGAGAGGTGATCGCTCCTATAACAGTACTTAGCGGTTATAACACGTTGATCACGTGCTGTATGCAGGTTATTTAACCACATTTTAACGAACAGATCTAAATATATATATGTATTTATATATATTGTTGTATTAGTATATACATGTATATATTGTTGGCTTTGTTGTATTAGCTGTGCGACCCATGAACATCACTGCAGAATATATGAACGTAACCATTACACTTCTCTTTCAGCTTCTTTGTAATGCTTATAAAAGTCATTATTTTTCAATCAGCCGTTTTTGGAAACAATGTAGTAGTATTAAAGCCTTAATCTAAATACATAACCATTAATCCAACTAAAAAGCCTATGATGATAATAAATATGTCTATATAATACAGTAACGTAGAGTTTTGATGTGTATAGTTGTTTTAGGCTATACTAGTCTTTCAGTAAACTGTGTGCTAACATGTGCCAAAAGTCAAAGGTCAACATGCCAAGGTCGTTTTGAGCAGTCTCAGAATACTGCACATCGTATTGGCCAACATTTTAGTCATTTTAGTTTCTTGAATGTTTGTTATTCAGTTTTTTCCATATGTTCTTCATATTCTATGTGGTGATTAGTTCACAGCAGTGACAGAAATGTTATTTTTCAATAAGTGCTGATACTTTTCCCCCTAAATTAATTTCCTGGGGCATTCTTACAATTTTAGGGCTTTTTAAAACTTAAATATGTGTCATAATTTCAAATTCTTGTATTTAATCAATACATTTTACTATAATAGAACACTATAGGACTGTCTGTTACCAGTCAAATGAAACATTATCAACAAAATCCATCTTTGCACTGCAGAGGTAGCGCAGAAGCTGCATTTGCAGTGCCATTTAGGTAAATCCAAAGAGACTATTTAATGCAGCTCAGAGGTAACAAATGTATTCACACTGTAATTACTATTGCATAAATAATTCTATGAGACAGTTTAAAAATTACATTTTGAATATTGAAAAATGAAACTTTTGAATATAAAACTAAAACCAAGACTTGGCAGCAAGTCCCTGTCTTAATGAGTCATTAAATCGTTCATTCAAATTATTCGTATAAAATGATTGATTGATTCAGTAACAAAGCAAGTGAGTGTCTTTATGAAGTGACTGTCTGTATGATGCTCAATGGTTCTGCTGTGGCTTTGTTTGGAATTTTTTATTTTAATTTTTTGGCATTTTAACTGCATTCTTATAGGCTACATGCCACTGAGAATGTATGGACTGTGTGCTTTTTTTTTTTGGCTTTTGCAAAGTGAGTGACAATCGATAATGTCATCATCTTGCACATTATTAAAACAATTGTGATATTATCTTAGTGACACTTATCCAATAACCCCTACTTGTACATGAAACATGGACACGATTTTATCAGTTTGTGTCAAGGAGGCCCATTAATTGCATGATTGGTTTTGTAGTGAGCACCATTATTTCTTGTAGTGCCATTGATGTGGACTGATTTGTATTAGGGCTGCACGATAAATCGCATGCGATATTTAACGCGCATCTTGTCAGTAAAGTCGGTTCTTTAATCAGCGGTAAATCTCCATCACCTGCGGGCTTTCACATGGAGCAGCATTAACTACACAGAGCCGTTGTTCACTGACAAGCTGCGCAAAACCACGATCATATTTTGGGCATGTTTTGCGCAGCTTGTCAGTGAACAACGGCTCTGTGTAGTTAATGCTGCTCCATGTGAAAGCCCGCAGGTGATGGAGATTTACCGCTGATTA